CTGGGGCGCGGTGGCCTAGCTGCGGTCCTGCTGGGCGGCCCCGGAGCCCCTCCAGCCCCGCTCTGTGTCTCCCAGAAAGTCCCCTGCGCGCCCTCCCAGCACCCACTTCAGCTCCGTCGGCGCGGAGCCGCCCCCTTCTTTCCCGGGAAACCTCTGGTGCTGTTCCGAAGGCCCGCGGCCCGGCCCCGGAGAGTCCTCTGCTCTGCCTGAGGTCCGCCGGCTGCAGACGTCTGTCCACGCGGCAGCGGTCAGCACCCGGCTCCTCCTATGGGGGAACACCGCCCGTCAGTGACCACGTCCGTGGCCACGGGCACCTGGCTGCACCTCTCCCCTGATGCGCAGCCGCCTCTCAGGACCCCTCGGGCAGACCGCTCCCGGAGTGGCCGGGCACCGCCACCCGTGGTGACCACCTGGGCCCTGTCCTCCCTCTCGGCATGTCCCCCATTTAATAAAGGAGCAGCTGTTCCCAGTAAACTCGGATTAATCACGGCAGCTCTGTGGCAGCGGCCACCTCCCGGTCACCCGGCTGCAGGCTGGGCTGCGGGCCTGGCCGAGGTCGGTGCCAGCGCGGTGCTGCCCGCAGGCTGGGGGTGGGGAGCAGTGGCCCCCAGTCCACCTTCCTCTTGGAAAGGTGACCTCGAAGAGCGGTCACCAAGGACTCCTCCTTGCAGCCCAGCCCTGTCCCAGGAACCTGGAACTTTCCCTCCTGGGAGCATCTATTAGGGGGAGGGGCAGCCCGTGGGGAGTCACCATGGCCATTGTCACTATGGGTCATCTTGGTTCCGTGGGTCATCTGAAACCCTTTGGCCAGTTCTCCCCCGGCCCTAGCCCTGGCCCCCTGGCCCTGGGAAGGCACTGACCAGGTCCCCCCTCCTTCTTGGGCAAAGGGGCCAGTGCTGGGGGTGTGGAAACGGAGAGGAGGAGGAGGGGTGCAGGGGAGGAGCAGCCACAGCACAGGATGCAGGAGCTGAGAGGAGCTTCTGGGTCCGGCCCCACCCTCCAGGGCAGTGCCGGTCAGCAGTGGGGATGGGAGGGGTCTGCTGTCTGACAGATGAGCACACAGAGGCCGAGGGAGGCCAGGGTGATGGGTGAGTTCTCTCAGCATTTAGATGTCACCCACTCAACGCCCGGACCTAGATGAAGCAGCAAAACCCCAAAGCCAGGCTCAGCCCATGGGCAGCATGGCTCACGAAGCACCTGACCACTGCCCCAGGACACCCCTCCCCCCCAACCCTGCTGTCCACCACAGGGGTGCTCTGGGCTGCCCCGGGACCTTTAGAAGGTTCCATGACAGGTTGCAATGCTCATTTTCCTCAGGGCTATGCGGACCCATCCCGCCTACACCCGCCTGTCTTGGAGGGAGAGTCTCTGCCCATCCCTGCTTGAGCACTGTTCACCTAGAAAAGCAGTAAGGGCCATAGTCAGGGGTGCTGAGAAGCAGGGACCAGAGTGACACCCTCTGAGGCCATAGCCACCCTCATGGAAAAGATCAATACATTCGATTATGTAAGTCATTTAAAATCTGCTGCAGAAAAAGATGCTGCAGCCAAGACAGGACCTACGCTCTTGAGAACGGAGTTGGCACTGGGTTTCAAGAGACGGGTCGGGGTCTAGCCCGTGGCCAGCACTCCCACTTCCAGAATTTTGCCTTAAACCGGAAAGTCAGATGTGAATAGAGATTTATGTGTGATGCTCATTTCAGCATTAAAAATTAGAGTCACCGTGGACTGTTAAACTATGACATGGTCATAGTTTATGAGACACGGAGGGCTGAGAGCAAGAGGCGTCACTGGGAAGGACTGTCATGGGGTACATCTAAGGATATTGATAAATGGGGGAAACAATGTAAAACTGTATAATGTAACCCCAAGTTTTATTTAACACAAACAAGTGTGAGCCTGTGAGTGTGGCACAGGTTTCCTTCCCAGGAGGCAGCAGGCAGACGTCCTGGATGGGAGCCTGGTGGTGGGTGATGAGTTTACCAGGTGCAGGCACATTCCTGCCCCACCCGCCAGTCAGTCTCCCTGGGTTTGGCAGCTGATCACTGCAGGGCAGTGGGGGTGGATGGGGCCACGGCCCGTGGGGTTTTTTCAGGCACTCTGGGCCCCAGGAGAGTGGCCTAGCCCAGTCCAGATGCCCGTGAGAGTCCAGCCCCACCTTGCTGCTGAGCACGCACCAATGCACAGAAGGCTGGAATCGTGTCACCTGCTGCACACCCAGGCTGCTGCCCTTTGTGTCAGTTATTTATCAACAAAGAAACACACACTCCCATTCCCTTCCCTTCTGATCTTTCTGGGAACTCACTCTGGGAAGTGAAGTTGCACCTACAGCCAGTGGACATCATTGTTTACCTGCCTGGGGAACTTTCAGCTCTCAGAGACTACCCTCACCACATGGAGCTCCTGGGGGCGTGGGGGAAGGCACAGCCATGAGTGACAGTGACAGTCCCTGTGGACATATATGTAGCGCTGCCCAGGAGTGTGGCCCAAGCTGGTTTGCAGAGGCCTGAACTCTTACCTGATTTCACACCTGTGCACACCTAGCTGACAGGCAGTTCTGACCCGGGTCACCTGGAAGGCCTGCCTTGGGTGGCAGGATGCTGGGCTCCTTCCTCCCCTAAGAGGCACTCAGGAGCCCACCCTGGCTGCCAGGCAGGAGAAAGGAGGGGAGCTCGGCCAGTAGGAGGTGGGAGCCTCCATCCCCTGGAGGGAGGTGACAAATGGCCAGAGTCTAGCCAGAGCCCCATGCACCCACAAACCACCACCCCAGGAATCCAGGAGCCCTAGGGCCATGTGCAGGGCAGCTTTTTCCATTGGAATTCCAGAGGAGTGACGCTCTGCACAGGAAGCCAGGCAGCCGCCAGGAGCTCTAGACAACTGCCTTTTCCAGGCGGGTCAAGTGCCAGCTCCATGCAGAGCATGTAGGCCAGTTCTCCTGGGGTGGGGTAGGCCCGAGAGCTCCCCAGGGGTGACCCGAAGGCCACCTTCCCGCGGAGAGCGGGGGAGACCAAGGCTGGGTGGGTGGGTGGTGAGTGCTCATCGTGGGGAGATGGCCTCGGTGGCTCTTCCTCCTCCCTGCGCCCCCTCCACACGCATATTCCCTGGTTCCTCCACAGGTACCCCCAGGGTCTCTCTCCCTAAGTTCTTGCTCCTTTTTCAGAGCCGAGGACCTGGGCTCGGACTCAAGGGGCTGCCTAGGCCACAGGGTGCCTGCAGGACGACGCCAATCCCCCAGCTCAGTGGGCAGGGCGGCCCCTTGCCCCTGTGGCCTCAGGCACCCGCAGTGTGATCGAAAGTGCAGAGCCTGTGTCTCAACCCAGAACTATGTGTTGGCGTGAAATACGGAGGGAAACAAGGCGTCGCCCCTGCCACTGGCCGTCAGAGCTGCTGCCCTGGGCCAGGACCCTCCCTGGGGCCTGAGGGGGAGGGGAAGGAGCATCTCAATTTCTGCCCTTGGCCTCCCAACACTCCATCCAAACCTCACTGCCACATCCTCACCCCACGAACCCTGCCAGCCCCCACAGGTAAAGGGGGTTTTGGCTATGTGGGGTGGGCCTTCCTGAGGGACTGTGCTTGGGGCTGGGACCCAGGGAGGGGCAGCAGGTACAAACATGTGCCCCACTTTTTCCAGGGGATGAAGCCAAGGTCCAGGAATGCACCCTGGCTGTGAGGGGACCCTGAACAGTGCCCACTCGCCTCTTCCTTCCACCTCCTCCCTGCTCATGGGGATTTTCCAGGAAGGAGCCCCTCCCCCCAGCTCTGTTCTTTAAGGGGTATGGGAGGAGCTAACTGAATTCCCCCAGGTCCATGCCACCCTGGGATGGCCAGCAGGGGCAGGGAGCTCAAGCTTAGCACCAGGCCAGCTTCGTGACCACAGCAAGATTCCAAGCCCTGATCCTCACTCCACCCCTGCCTCCCATGTCCATGGCACCTCACGCTGCAGGATGGGAGAGGCACCTGTGCAGGGGCAGCCACGGCTGGGGCCTCCCAGAGCCCCACAGGCCTTCTTAGGAACAGGAATGCCACAGGCTCAGGTCCACTGGGACCTGCTCGGACTCAAAGGTGCTGAGACAAGGAAGGTCAAGGGGGGGGGGGGCTCTAGATCTGCAGGGGACAGAGATCTGGCACTGTCCTGGATACCTGGCTGCTGACCCTTCCTGCACTCTGTGAGGCACCTCCTGCTGGCCCTCAGGGTAAACAGGGTACGGAGGAGTCACTGGGAGGCTGCAGGGCTCCTTCCTGGGGGAAAATGGGGGCCACACAAAGTGGGTTCAGGGCTGGCAGTGGGCAAGGTAACTCAAGAGCAAGATAAGAAACTCTAGCATTGGTCTGAAAGCCCTGAGACGGGGTTGGACCAGTGAGCAATGACATCTTCCCCTTAGGCCTTCTACCGCTACCAGGGGCCTTGGGGTCTGACCCCAGCTTGGGCCCACCTACTATTTCTATTGCATCTGTCTTCCTCCTTTGTCCCCATGTACATTCGGTTGGGGGGGATAAACTTTGCTGCCCTCATGTGGCCATCCCAGCACGGAAACCAGCCAGGGGCACTTGCCCGGTGGTGAGTGGAAGCGGCTTCCTCACGCAGAACTCCCACTCCTGGTTTCAGGTCCTTGACCCCCATCTGCCCCCAAGGCCCCCTGCTCACTGGAACCTTCTCCACAGGTGTCACGATTGCTGATGCCGCTTCCGAGTGGAGGCTGCTAGCCCCACAGGGCATCGTCCCAGGCAAATGTCTGTTCGCAAATGGGACTCTCCACCCAGGGCGTAGGGAGCCCTTCCTGAGGGAGCAAATGTGTCCACAGCCTCCCAGAGGAAACACACAGGTGCCTGGGAAGTAAGAAACTGGTTCCCTTAATTTACTCAAGAGATGAAATGGTGGAAACATTAGAAAATCAAAATCCAGGTGATACGTAAGGCACCTCGTTCAACAGGAAAGGATGAAACAGGAGGGAGGTGCTGCTTCCGGCTGGAGGGCTCCCTGCAGCCCGAGCTCCGAGCTACGGGAAGGCAGGGTCTGTGACGCTGTTGTCTGGGTCGCAGGTGAAGGCCATGACGATGGAGTAGCGGGTACCCCAGTGCACCTTCTCCACCCGGTGCAGGTTCTCGGACCCCGAGGTGAAGAAGGACACCCGTCCTGGGCAAGCAGGAAGGAGGAGACATGACCTGGGCCATGTGTGGTCCTCGGGACCCAGGCTCCTAACAAACCCACACCACAAACCAGGCAACTGGGAGAAACCCACACAGTAATCCAGGGGTTGCAGATGTGGGAGGCAGGACGATACCAGAGGGAACCTGCAGGTCTGGGAGGCTGGCTCCTCCAGGCAGGGTGAGGGGCACCCCAGGCCTGCTGGGCACCAGGAGCTTTTTGTGGCTGGGGGTGGGGTGTGGACACACCCAGTGGTCTATGATAACAGAGTGATTTACGGTGGGGCCTTTCATGATACAAAGTTCTACTCAAGTACCTATTGGGTTTAAAATGGCCCTCTGGGAGCCCCCCTGGCCTGGGCTTTCTTTCCCCACAGGCTCCAGAAGGGAGGGGATGAGTTGTGTGCTCAACACAAGCTCACTGGGCAGCAGGGGTCCCAGAACTCACTATCTCCATGGACATTAGCTGCTAATGTCCATTAGCTCCCTCTGGGGAGGGTCGGGGCAGGAGCACAGTGCAGGGTGGACCAGGTTCACACCAGGGCAGAGTAGGCTCGGGAGCCGCTCTGCGGTGACAGCAGAGCCTGAGGACATGCCTGCCTCACCCTCTGACAACTGGCCTCCTGGGTGTCTCAGCCCAGCAGGCACGGATCCAGGCAAACGTTGGGCACACAGCAGGCACCTCCTAAACGCAGCGTGTGCCCTGGAGACCACCCGCCCCAGGGCCTCGTGCTGTCCTACCTGCTCTGGGCTCCACCATCTTGTTGCCTCCCTCATCCACGAACATGAATCGCCCCCCACCGAAATCATCCAGGTAGTCGGAGAGGTGCAGCAGCGCAGTGTAGTCGTAGGAGCCATAGGTCACCTGTGGGCGACGTGGGGGAGCATCACCACCTGGAGCTCAGAGCCCTGCATCTGCCCTTCACGCGTGGGCGTCACGCACAAAGCCACTTGCGCCTTCTCAGCTTTAGGGGAGCCCTCCTTGCTCCCAGGGTCTGGCCCTGCCTGGGGTTCCCGCAGAGCTCCGAGCCCGGGCCATGGGTCCCTGCAAAGGCCCGGTGTGTGGGGGACCCAGGGCCGCTGTCGCGGGAGATTCCCTGGCCGTGTCCATGCCCCCGGCCAGCCCACCGGCCCCATCTCCCAGGTCAGCGCAGGGGCAGGGTAGCGAGGGCCAGAATTTCTGCGCCTTGGTCGGATGCGGAGCAACCCCAGCTTTTTAAAAACTG